GGTTAATGTTGGACTTGTGGGCTTGGGCAGCATTGGGTTGGGATGTTTTCGTGATGCACCTTTTCTTTACATAAAACTCTCTCTTATACGTGAGTCGCTGTGGATTTGTTTCTCCAAAGTACCTAGACTAATACAGCAGGGTAAGACTGTCCCTGTGTGCTGAGACTAACTCGATGGGAGATGGGAGTAGACAGCCCCGTCTTTCTCTGGAGGAGGGCCTGGTGGTTGCGAACTTGGGGCCATGTGGCGGTGGGGTTGTTGCTGTGGAATGATGGGTCCGTTGCAGGAGCTGGGTGGCTTTGCTAAGAACCACAGAGGGCAGTCTGAGGAGGGCACTGGCATCACCACTGCTGGGCAGTGCTCTCAGGAACTGGGGGGGGTGGGGGTGTAGGGGGGTAACTGGTGTAAGAGCTCAGCTGCTGACTAAGGGTGGTGGGGCAGAGCTGCCATCGGCTCCGGGAGCAGCAGGAGAAAGATGTTGTCTTTGCCTTAGAAAGCCTGAGGGGCAGCTCTTCCTGGCCCTGTAGGGTGGGTGTGAGCCCGAACCATGAGGACAAGGGTTTGGGCCATCACACATCTTCTCACCTAGCCAACACCAGTGAGGGCCGAGTCTGTCGGACCTTTGTTCTTTCCCCTCCCCGTTGAGGGGCCATTCTCATGATCCTTGGCATCCTGACCCCTTCTCTCTCCTGCTATCAGGGTGAAGTGAGTCAGCGCTGTGAGCAGAACGGGTCAGATGGGAGGGGCTCAAATAGTCAAGGGAAAAGGGAGGCTTGGACCTGAGCAAAGGTTGGTAGAGGTGTGTGTGTGTGTGTGTGTGTGTGTTCCATCCAGCTGTTTGCACCTGTGAAGCCGATTGAATGACATTCCAGCTGGTCTCCTGACCACACAGTAGCCCTCACCTGCAAGCACCTGGGTGGGGCCCAGCCCATGCTCCTTCCAGGCAGCAGTGCCTAGGCTGGGCCCACATCAGTGTTCTGGTGCAAGCTGCCAACCTGGACCCTCACCTGCCCTCCCTGGCTCCACCTACAGCAGCCAGGCTCATGGTGGGGGGTCAGGGGTGGGGCTTAAGAGGCCCACCTGGAACCAGCCCACACCACAGAGCTTCACAAGCCCTGGGGAAGGGGACTGGGCTGCCTTCCAGGAGAGCAGCTGTGGACCAGCCTCCTCCTCACCTGGACAGGAGGGCAAGGCTAGCAAGCT